GATAGATAGATAGATAGATAGATAGATAGATGGATAGACAGACAGACAGACAGACAGATGATAGATGATTGAAGATGATAGATAGATAGATAGATAGATAGATAGATAGATAGATAGAGATAGAGAGATAGAAGATAGATAAACGACAGTCTCTGGTTGAAAATAGATTGGGAACCACTGCACTAGAGGAGCTAGAAAAGATCTACCTTAGGATTGCCATAAGTCAAAAATTGTTTGAAGGCATACAACAACAAAAGTGGGCATTCCTAATGTTGGAGAGTGGTCCCTAGTCAAAGTGATCCTTGGTCAAGTGGCCCTGGTCAAAAAAGGTTGAGAACCACTGTGGTCAAGTGGTCCCTGGTGAAGGTGGTCCCTGGTCAAAGTGATCCCTGGTCAAAAAAAGGTTGAAAACCACTGTGATAGATAGATAGATAGAATAGAATAGAATAGAGTAGAGTAGAGTAGAGTAGAGTAGAGTAGAGTAGAGTAGAGTAGAATAGAATAGAATAGAATAGAATAGAATAGAATATAGATAAACGACAGTCCCTGGTCGAAAAAAGGTTGGGAACCATTGCACTAGAGGACCTAGAAAAGGTTTATCTTAGTGTTGCCATGGGTCAGAAACTGTTTGAAGGCATACAACAAAAAAAGTCGGCATCCCTAATGTTAGAGAGGGGTCCTTGGTCAAGGTGGTCCCTGGTCAAAGTGGTCCCTGGTCAAGGTAGTCTCTGGTCAAAGTCGTCCTTGGTCAAGTTGGTCCCTGGTCAAAGTGGTTCCTGGTCAAAGTGGTTCCAGTTCAAGTGGTCCCTGGTCAAAAAAAAGGTTGGGAACCACTGTGATAGATAGATAGATAGATAGATAGATAGATAGATAGATAGATGGATGGATGGATGGATGGATGGATGGATGGACGGACGGACGGACGGACGGACGGACAGTGTTGTCAGTCAAGAATTCCTATCAAAAAAATAGTGCTGTAACACAAATTTAATTTATGTTCCACTCTTGTTTGGGGACTTTTTCCCATGTAGATTTTGTGGTAGGCTACTCTCTCTCCTCTCGTGTAATGTTTATCTAAAATTGAGCTGTATTGAAATGAAAGAATTACAATTGCAAGACTGTTATGCTGTAAAGTGAAAGGGCATGTAGGCACGCAACTGAAAGTATGCAAACATCTCCCTTACAATGAATGAGCCTTCATCAATGGTACTAACTAGTTTGTAGAATGTGAGCTCACTTCATTTTCTCTGGTTTGGGACCATCGTGTCTATCTTCATGGTACTGGTACAGAGCTTCCAGTCTTTCAAGAAAATTTGGCACCCATATTCACAAATCATGGTTTAGGGAGACCCTTTGCCTTGCAAAGCTCAAGGGAGCGGCATCGAAAGGCCATCCATTCATTCTGTACCACCAGATCAGTATGAGAGAATGTTGATTCACCGGATCTTTGGGGGGGAAAGATCTCCATCTAAAAGCTGTAGGAGTCATAGACCTCAGCACAAAGACGGTGCTCAAGCGTCAAGAGATCTCCAGTCCTTCCAAGAGCTGGATATTCCAGACATGGTCCCTAAGGTGCCTGTAACTCCGAGACATGACTTCCGTTTGCATTAGACTGAATATACAACTTCTGCATAGCATTAGGATTTATTTAGCCTCTTGGCAAATGACAGACAGGATGTCTGAACCGTAATGTCTCCCTGGAGGGGCTTGGTTGCCATTCCTTTTATGGAGGGAGGGAAGCTAATTGCAGCAGTGTGTGGTAAATGTCATCCTTTCACCAAGATTAAACCACTGAGCAACACAGTCGCCTTCTCTCCCAGCCCACCTGTTAATCCCTTTCTGCTGCAAAATGCTTTAGCGGTGAGAATATTGCCTTGAAATGTTTTCAAAGCTAGAGTTACTTTTTGCCTCCCAAAGAGGGGCACCATATTCTTAGATTCATTTGCCTTTAAATTTGAGTGAGCTCTTCCTTCATGTACCAAAGCAACAGATTGGTAGAATGTGACACATAGCTGACAGGCAGCCAGTGGAGCTGACGTAACTGCAGTGTTGTGTGCTCCTTGTACCCCACTCTGGGCTTCTCTGGGTTGGGACCACTATATTCTCTTGATGGTACCAGTGCAGAGCTAATTTGGCACCCATATTTAGAAATCATGGCTCAACGAGACTCTTTGTCTTGTAAAGCCCAAGGGAACGGGCTTGGAAGGCCATTCATTCATTTCATATTATGAGATCGCCATCAGATGGACTATGAAAAAGGGACAGCTACTTCTCCTATTGGGCCATAAATCACAACTAAACAATATATTTTAATGGGTTGCTGTGAGTTTTCCAGACTG